GTCGTTTTGCCCGGGCATAAACTTTTTTCTCCCCCGCGACAGATTGGCGTTGCCCGAGGGACAAGCGGGATGATTATTCCTTTACAATGCGGACTACCCGTTATTAGATTAAAGCGGAGCGGTCGCGAGTGTCATTAACGTTCCCAATTAGCGCGGCCCCTCGTCGTCTTTGCGATTTTATCCCAACCCCCCGAGCCCTCTCGTTGAGATCTTTATTTGCCGCAGCAAAACAACGCAAAGCTATGTTTTACGCGAAAATACATTCGCTCGCGGTGGTTCCATTATATCCCGGAGGGATACGAGGACCCAAAGGCACACACCGGGTCTCTCTAAATTCACGTATAATGCCCAACAGAGAGGGAAAAGCACGCTCATGTACGCGAGACATAGGTTTTAGGGCGCATGAAATTTTTATTCCTCCTTAACGCGCATATTTTTTTATTTTTATTCTCCGTAAATTTAAATTGCGATAATATATTAATAATAATAAATTATTAAATAGACAATAATAAATTAAAAAAAGATAATGATCTCCAATGAATTCTAGGTAGGAAATATAGTAGGAATTATAGTTGATTATGACAGATTTTTCTTTTCTCTTTTTTTTTTTGTTCTACATTCCATCGTCATATATGCGACCTCGTGACATCATAACTACACCATCTACCTTGTTTCCACCCCGTCACATTCTGTAACGAAGCTCCAAGCCGTTGTGTTCTTCCACGAGTGCCATTAGCGGCGTCGTTGGTTAGTTAACGCAATTATCCTTGCTCATTCAGTCACCGATCTTTCTCCTCTATCGCAACAACCCCCAACCTCCGGGATTATTATTTATATCGCAAAACACAGCATTCTCTGCGGACGTTAAACACTTTACGAAACTTTCAGTATTCCAAGCGACAAGAAATTTTTTGCAATTACGTCATTGTTAACGAGCACTGCGACTGCAAAAACAAATTGTTGAATACATATATTCAACGGAAAAATAAATATATGTTTATATACATACCTGTAAACGATCGTCATTGATTTCGCTCTGATATTCGACCTAAATTAACTAGTTTAAATTTCATCACACAGCATGATTATATGACATTAATATCATACCAGTTATATTTTAAAAGTAATATTATATATACATTTAATAATATTATATAAATACACGTCTAATACAACTAAATTATAATTTTCATTAAAAAGATTAAATGTTTTAATTGTTAATTCATCATTTTCCTAACCATCAAGTGAAATTTGGGACATCATTTCTTAAATTATCTTATTTTTGTTTACTTTTTTTAATCTTCTGCTACTGTAAGAAATTATATATTGGGTATCTCAAAACAACGCTTGTGAGTGAGCGCAACAAATTAAACAGAAAAGTCTTTTATCATTTTGCAATTTTCGTTTTACAAATAATAATTATTAAAATACTAATTAAAAAAGAATTGACTAACGCGCGTTTTGTGGCTAGGCTGAAAAATGTAACTCCATATTTTTCATTGCATATTCTTATCTTATTTATGTTGGGAGTTTTTAAAAACAGTATAATAAAATATTTTTTTATTAACAAGAACTTTTCGAATTAGAATTGACGGGTGAAATAATTTTTTAATATTACATAATTTATAAAATATCTCGTAAGTTCAATTTTCAATGATTTTACTTCAATACTTTTATGCTTAAAATAATAAGAAGAATTAATTGATATAAAGAAAACATATAATTGTTTCTAAGAAAAAATATGTAAATGTTAATTACAAATTATATATTTTTTTCTTAAAACCACTACTGTGTTTCTTAATTATTTTATTACGTTATTATTATTGTTATTTTATTTACTTTCAAGTTCTTACAAACTTATAAGCAGTGTGAGAGGACTGAGTAGCTTCGTAAATAATTTAACAAAAAGAAAATTTTATGACATAGTTTGTTCTGCATGCAAGATACATATTTATTAGAAGAAATTATTATTAGTGATATCCTTAAAAGTTATAAAATAATTGTCAGTTATTAAGGTTTTTTGCTAATAAGATTAAGATCCTTATATATAAGACGTGTACGTATTTCAACTGTTTTTATCATTTTTCATATTTATTTTTAAAATAATTTTAGAAAATATTTTCAGACATTGTATAGCAATCGCTATGAGCGGCGAGTGACTTACATTAGATAGCAAAGTAATTGTCTACTGAGTCATGGATTTTGGAATCGATTCCCCGTACGGTTGCTCCATTATTCTTCCCTTGTCGGAAGAATAGTATACTCTACTTTATACCTAACCACAACAGAATGAACAGGACTCATCCACCCCTTGTCAATCAAATAAAAGACAAGACAGCAATCGTTATACTAGATTCCTATAAATCAGGAACATTAAGAGGTGCTCAGGAAATAGCAGATGCTTTAAAATGAATTATCATGCACAAGATGTAAAATGTACAGAAATCCTGCAACGAAGGCCACAAACAGCTGCGGATTATTTTACGTTATCTATTTTGCTGAAATATTTGTTAAGTGTTATAACAAATAACAAATATCCCAGCAAACATAGAATATAATTATTATGTAACAAAAGTAAAAAATATAAAGTAATTACTTTTAAAAAATCGCATCAACTTAGTGCAAACAAAAATGACAGTTTCTAAAATTTTAATCAATATCAGAGATGGCAATTTTTTTTTAAATAAAATCCATGCCAATGGTAAAAACTGATATTTTCCAGAAAAACTGGTCTTTTTTATTAAAAATGTAAAAATAAATAAAAAATCTTTTTAGCGATTTATTAATTAAGAAAGAATATTTTTTTTAATTTAAGCTTTATCTAAAATAAAATCGGTAATAGATTTAAAGAATCATAATAAATAAAATAATTTCTTGTTAAAAATTATTGAAAGATAAATCAGATCCATATTGGGAAAAATTTTTAATTCTATATTATATTTTTCTTATTACATTAATATTAATATAAAATTAATATAAAATATATTAATATAAAATTTAGTAACATTCATATTTCCTAATTTTTTGTTCAATTTTTTTTCAAGAATGATGTATATTAATTTGAATTAAGAAACGACTTTATTATATTCATCTTTCATTCTTTTCATTTTTTTAAATTATAGTAATTAGTAGAATTTATTAATTTAAAAATATATTTCTTGGCATAAAGTTATATGAATATATTTTAGTATATTTTAATTACATATTAATTATTTTTATAGTTTTTGCCAGTTATTCCATTGGACAAAATTCAAAACAGCAAAAATCGGAATTGACTTTTTTCACTAACTAGACTTTTCCGGCCAGCAACTGACAGAAATGGTAACGTTGCTGAAAAAATAAAAGAAGTTAAATCGAGCTCATTATTTACTCTTTCTCAACAGAAGAAAAAGTATTATTCGGCGGAAAATCGAACGGCTGCAGCGAACAAGATTGCTCATCATTATACTTTATCCATCTTAGAGTTTCTCAGCGAATATACTTCCAAAGGCCGTCATAAGGGTACGCGATGACCTATTTAGAACGTCGGACGACTAATTACGAGCGACATAATAGAGCGGCCAACGACGTTTCCATAAACTGGCAAACGGCTCCAGCTCGTTATTTCGGGGCCATTTAGGACTCCTTTCTCGTTCACTCCATTGTCCGCGAACAAACTATTCGATATACTGATCTCTTCTTACATCGTTCGCTACTCTAGACGAATAATGCCGTTGCCTTTCTTCACTAAGAAATAATTCCAAGGATCCGTTTCTAAACTAAATATATTCTATATATTTTTAATATATTTTTAAGATAATAAGGAAAATATTTATCTGAATGCTTGATTTTACTCATTTTTATCAATTCATTAATCCTGTACAGATACAAATTGGTGTTTTGAAAACTTAATCGCTTGTAAATTTGGTTGTAATTGATTAAGTTAAAAAAAAGAAAAACGCTATTTTCAATGCTATTTTCATTAATAAAAAAATTGTTATTAATATATTAAAAATTATACTTATAAAATCTTTATTTAGATTGACAGTTTTATTAATGGAAATTTATCAGTATAATATGAACGAACTGAGAAACACTCCGAACATAATTCTTCCGAAAGTACGGTATCTATTTTAGTTATTTGGAAAGGTTAAACTGGTGAGAAAAAATTCGAAGAATCCGTTTATAAACTAAATATATTTATCTATTCCTAAAATAAGAGGGAAATATTTCTCTGACTTCTTGATTCGCGTCTATTTATTTTTACCCATTCATTAATCTTATACAAATGCAAATTTGTACTTTGAAAATTTAATCGCTTCTAAATTTGTTTGTAATCGACCAAAAAAAGAAAAAAATACTATTTTAAAGTAGAAAATTTGACAGTAATAGAAAAGAAGAAAAAAATTATTATTAATATATTAAAAATTGCACTTGTGGAATTTATTTAGATTGACGACGGTTTTATTGATGGAAATTTGCATCAGTATAATAGGAACGAATTGAGAAACACTCCGAACATAATTCTTCCGAAAGTATGGTATCTGTTTTAGTTATTTGGAAGGGTTAAACTGGTGAGAAAAAATTCAAAGAATCCATTTATAAACTAAATATATTTATCTATTTCTAAAATAAGAGGGAAAATATTTCTCTGACTTCTTGATTCGCGTCTATTTATTTTTACCCATTCATTAATCTTATACAGATGCAAATTTGCGCTTTGAAAATTTAATCGCTTGTAATTTTGCCTTGAATCACTTGATTTAAAAAAAGAAAAATTGCTATTTTGAAATAGAAGACAGAAAATCTAATATTAATAAAAAAAAAAGAAAAGAATTATTATTAATATATCGAAAATATTGTTTGCAAAATCTATTTAGATTAGCAGTTTCGTTGGTGAAAATTTGTATTAGTGTAATATGAACGAACTCTTTCAAATATAATTCTTTCAAAAGTAGGATACCTATTTTAGTTATTTGGAAGGATTAAAGCGTGCCTCGTGGATCAATCAACACAACATATTCGTTATGTCACGAAACAACTTTATTTCCAATTTTTACAATGATTCCTAGCACGCTTCCCCGTCCCGTGCAAAGTCGCGAAGGTTTCGTGTTAGAAGCGAAAGACGAGGTAACGGCACGCGAACGATCGATGTGATTCGCGACGAGAGAGTTCGGTGCGCAGGAGAGTAATATCCGGTTATGAAGTAAAAGGTAATCTTAAGATGGATGAATGGGTAGATAGATGGATGAGTGGATGGATCGTGACAAGGGGAGCTCAAAGTACGCTTAAAGTGCAGGCACGAACGACGCAATTCCGATACACGCGTTGATCACAAAGGATAATTTCGAGACTTGTATCTTCACAAACGTGAGACGCGTTTAAGGCCTGTATTCCGATCTTATATTTGAGATCGTCTTAAGTTCGAGTTTGAAATGCTACGCAGCTATTTGGTTGAATGAGGTCTTAAGTCAACCTCGGACCAGACTTAAGACAATCTTAAATATAAGATCGGACTATGAATACCGGCCTAAATGCTTTCTTACACCGCCGTCTCTTGAAAAGCACGATCGCTTTCGATATTTACATTGTACTCGGCAAACATGATTCGAACTGTCAAGTGGAAGAGTGGTGTGCGAAAGCAAAAATAAATCTTTTTTTCTATTTTTATCCTGATGAGAAGGATTATATATAATGTATATAATCAGAAAAAAGAATTTATCAAAGCAAGATATATTATAATCAGAATAATTTCACATTCACTGTTCCGTTCAACGATTCGCTCGAAATCCATATATCCAGAGGATATTAGGATTTAAATCTAATTGAAAATCTTGGCGTACATAAGATTTGAATCCCGTTGCAAAATTCAAATGGCGCGCAAAAGTACATTTCTGTCCTCGAGTGCTGGCAAAGAAAGATGTCTCACTGTGTATATTGCCTCTCCCGGCGCACAATATATATATTCCTATATTTTAATTGCTAGAAAAGACATTGTTGTGACTATATAAGGCTGGCAGCGATTTCTCCCTCCGGTGACGACATCGGTGCGATCTGTCTCTCCCTAATCTTCCCCTGTCACCCCCGCCCCGTTCTTCTATAGACATTCCCTCGTGTGTGTCTCGGGACAGTCTCTCTTCTGTGGTTTTCTTGTACGCCTTTACTTCTGCTGGAACAATTCGAACAACGTCGCAAAGAACGTAAAGGGACGCTCGTGATTCCCCTTTCGAATTATAAAATAAGGGCTCATCAATTAAGACAATATTGACAAAAACATTCAAGTAGTGCCGATATACATATAATAAAGAAGTGTTTTCAGGAAAAATTAATCAGCTAATTAACTTTTGATGGCAGAAGATAAATTGCCCTCAACTGAATGCGCATGCAATAAATAAGTTTCTGGGCGACAAATAAATACAATCAATCTTCCTTGGATTGCGATTGCTATCGGGACATGTGCTATATGTGGAAACGTGCTGTTTAATAAGCGAGCCATCGTTGTCCGAGGGAAAGAGAAATGGACGGGGTGAGATGGATATACGGGTTGGCTATTAATCACAGGAAACACGCATTTCTCAGCGTATCTAATCGCGCCGCTTGTTTAAGGGGTTACGTATCTTGGTGCACTGACCTTGGGCGGATCTCCAGCACCGAGATATACGAGACCGGTCGCACCTGCGTACGCCAGCAGGGTGTCGATCGCCTGCTGCGTCTCCAGCAGGATCCTGGTCTCGTTCATCCACTCTCTGGCGATGCTTCTTGGCGCACCCTTGAGAAGATTCATGTATCTCAAAGTCATCTTGAAGTCACCGCGATCCAACCAATACCTGAAACAAATAATCGAGGCTCCAAATGTTTGAGAGATACACTGATAATGACAATAATTGAATATATATTTTTGATAATAAGTGTGATCTCTTTCTCTCTCTTTCTTTTTCTCTCTCTCTCTCTCTCTCTCCCTCGTCTTTGAATAAATTTAAGGTTAAACGCTCATGTGATATGCTCTGGCAGGGAAAATGCCTTATTCAATGTTCAGACATAATGAACTTATTAGTAAATATTATTAAAACGAAAAGCGATAGTTGACAATACATAATCAACTGGTAAATGTAAGGGCGTTTTTATTTAAAAAATTACAAAATTAATAATTTTTAAGAAAGAAAAACCTGTAGAATTTCTTGGTGTTTTTAATCATTCTTCTTTCATCATGCCATAAAAATAATTGTGCCATGAAAATAATTATGTTTATTATATTCTCATTATATATTTCTGGATATAACTGATAAATTATAACAAGTGTCATTGTAGTACAAATGTTTTTTATTCGATATAAAGATGTATTTTTATTTAAAAATATAAAAATAAAAATTTAAAATAAAAAAATTAATTAAATAAATTTAAAAAAAATAAAACAAAAAGTAAATAAAACAAATATATTAAGTAATAAAAACAATATTTCACAAATATTTAATATTTAATAATAAAAATATAAGCTTAGAAAAGCTTAAAATAATGTCTATTTATAAATATTAATACAATTAACTTCAAACTATATATATATATATATATATATATATATATATATATATATATATATATATACAGGTCTACCAAAAGTGTGAAACCCTAAATATCTCGAAAATATACGTTTTACAGAAAAGTGTTTCCAAAAAATTGTAGGTTTAAGAAATCTATATACTGATTCTATCAGTTTGACTTGATGGCGTCGTCAAGGTCAGGTCAAGGTCACATTGACTTTTTTAAATGAACCCTACATTTATTGCATATTCTTATAGCTTAATTCAAAGCTTTCCAAACACTATAATAATGTTATTTTTATTAAGTACTTTGCAGTTATGAGGTTGAAATAATTTCTTAATTTTACATAAACCATAAAATATCTAGTAAACCATTCATTTTTCGATTATCTTACCTTCATACTTTTATGTACAAATTAATGAGAGGAATCAATTGGTGTAAAGAAAACACATAGTTGTTTCTAAGAAAAAATATGTAATTTGCAATTAACAATTCCATATTTTTTCTTAAAAACAACTGTATGTTTTCTTTACACCAATTGATTCCTTTCATTATTTTGTACATAAAAGTATGAAGGTAAGATAATCGAAAAATGAATGGTTTACTAGATATTTTATGGTTTATGTAAAATTAAGAAATTATTTCAACCCTCATAACTCGCAAAGTACTTAATAAAAATGAACATTATTATAGTGTTTTGGAAAGCTCTTGAATTAAGCTATAAGAATATGCAATCAAATGTAGGGGGTGTCATTTAAAAAAGTCAATGTGACCTTGACCTGACCTTGACGACGCCATCCAAGGTCAAACTGATAGAATCAGTATATAGATCTTCTTAAACCCTACAACTTTTGTTGGAAACACTTTTCTGTAAAACGTATATTTTCCGAGATATTTAGGGGTTTCCACACTTTTGGTAGACCCTGTATATATACACAGCAGGCATACACTCATCCCTCGATTTACATAGTATTTACATAGTATTTTTTATGCGAATTGTTTGAAAAAATTTTTTTTATTATTTCATTCTTTTTGTAATTGTTAGCAACAGTCGGGAGTACCTTTTTTTAACTTCTTTTATAATTTCATTCTTTTAAAAGCTGTTATGCATCAAAATACAACGCGTTAATGTATTATACATTCTGTGTATAAAAACCTTAATCATATATTATATTTTAGATATATAATGGTTGCATTCAGCAGAACAATTACTCAATCGTCGTCACTTGATGTAAAGTTCCTAAGAACCCGCAATAAAAATACTTCAATTAATCAAAAATTGATGCTTATTAATTATTAATTTTAATATCAGCAAGTCCTTATAAATTTCAATCACCAATGAAATTGTTCTCATCATATTTTTATATTATTTTAAATGAATCTAGGGCGCATTACACTATTTCATTCTATATTGTTTTGTTAATTTCGTCGCATAATGGAATGCGAATAATAACGGAGATCCGCTATTTGCGGGAAACAATCGGCGCGAGGGAAGATTTGCCCGGCCGAATTTCTCTATGGTTATTCACCGGATGCTGGCCACTTTGTTTCGAAACAAACATGAGAATGTACGGACTCTCCCCCAACTCTCCCTTCCCATCGCTTTTGGAGAAATACCGGGGAGACCACGCGCGATAGTTTGGCGAAAGGTACTCGCGGTAGAGAAATAGTTGGCGACATCGAACACACGAAGCCGGAAGCCGCGACGACCTTCTTCCGAGAGGAAACCGCCTTCCACAAACAGTTCGTTCGGGACATTTATTTACGGACTTGGTATTAAGTTGGCAATAATATTGATTATGCAGACGTCGCTCTTTCTCTCGTCGCAAGATCGAAATGCGGATCTTCAAAGGAAAAGGCGCAGGATAAAAACGTGCGCAGGATAAACGTTGATTGAAAACTTTACGTCGAATACATCGGGTCTCTCGCTCCGATAAAGAGAAATTAATGCTGTATCTCGGATGGAGTACAAGAAGAGAAAAGAATGACTGGTATTTTCCGAATAATGCGAAAAGATTTTCAAGCGGATCAACAATACAATTGAAAAGTATACCTTCCTTTATGCAATTTCTTACATTGTAATATATTGTTTTTTAAATTAATGTTATTTGTTATATATTTTTTTTAAATTAATGTTATTTATTACATGCATAATGTGTTTGGTTTAAGTGTATACATTCCGTTATTTTTGAAATAACGGAATGTATACACTTAAACCAAACACATTATGCATATAATAAATAACATTGTAATGTAGAGAATTATGAAAGAATGTTTCAAATAAAATTATTTTAAGATTTTTTTACTTAAACGAAAATTTTTGATTATTTTTTTTAGATGTTATCCGTGATAGTTTTATTTTTTTTGGAATTCATTGGATTTAATTTTATTTATGATACCTTCAATAACGTGTAATAAAGTAAGGTTTTCAATGCTTATTCAATAGTATATTTTTTTAAACAAAATAACTTTTATTCAAAATGATTCTTTATAATTCTATTATTTAAAAAAAAATAATTAAATATATATACACTTAATTAAACACATTGTATTTAATTAGTCATATTGAAAATAATCAGCAGGACAATCGTAATTAATGAAAAATGTAAATTACCAATATAATTAATACGCGAATTAAAATTAGTTATTAAAATCTCATTATATTAAATTAAACATGCAATCCAACGTTTTTCAATTTGACGATCATTGTCAATTATTACTCTCTTTGAAAAAAGAAACAAAAAACGTCTGATCATACAGAACGCAGTTTTTTAAAATACAAAGATTGGTATGTCCGAAAACTGCATTTATCTACTTTTTCATTACGACGAATGCTGCGAAAGCTGTGAGCTGGAACGTGGCATAGAACGTTTATCTCCGTTCTGTCTCTTATAAAATCAATCCTAGGCAACAGTTCGCATAGTGGTCTAATTCGAGGCACGAACGCACATTTGCAGATCTTAAAGTTTTCTGTTGCCCCCGAATTTCATATTCAACAATATCGCTTCGCGGCAACTTTTTCGATTTTAGCCTTTTCGACCCGCGCCCAAGCGATCCTCCTGTTTTAAGAAAATCCTACACTTTTCCTGCACGTATAAGATCGCCGATAAGTTCAGTCCTCTTTACGCCGATCGATCAATCCGATCGTGATACGGATTTCACGTAATAATTTTGATTAAACAATCACACGAAACGAGCGATGATTATGTGTCTTTATATCTAAATAAGTTTTTCTCTATTTCAAGTTAATTTTCCTGGGAGAAAAATCTTTTTGTCCTTTCTTCTCTATTAAAGAGATTTTTTAGAGAGAAAGATTTTTTATGTAAATTATGAATTAAATATAAATTTTGAGAACATTTTGAGAACATTTAAAATATATCGTAATGATTTAAAACAAATTTTTGATTTTTAATTTTAATTAGATGAAATTCCGACTCAAATTAGGGCGGAGGGATTGCTCAAATCTCAAAAAATTTCCTAACTTTCAAGTATGTATAATAAAATTCTCTCACTTTCAAATATTTTTTGTTTAAAATTCCAGGTAAAGAAAGTATAATTTTTTCGATGTCTTTTTGTGACTCTTTAAAATAAACTTTCTAATGCTTTTCGTTCATGCGAAGAAAATTCTCAGTTACTTATTTTCAAAAATTAGATTTGCCAATATACTCGGAAATAACTGAGAAAAATTTCTTTAAATAAATATTCTTTACTAGCACAATTTTATTTTTTTATCACCAAAAATTACAATAAAAAATGTATTGCATGTCCAATATTTTGTTAAGACATTGAATAAAAAAATGGATATATATCAAACATACACACATAAATCACAACTTTGCTTATCAGTGGATTGCTTATAGTATAAGAATAAAATTACCAAAGAAAGAATTTTTTTTAATATCTTGAATTTTTTTTAATATCTTGTTCCAATAAAATTCAATGAAAAAATCTCAATAAAATTTCATGAAAAATTTCCTTGATAGTTCCAAGTACAAAAGAGATAAATCTCTGGAGAAAATTCCACGTTTTTCATGTTCTTTTCAGAGACTAAACACATTGTCAAATGCACGATAATTGACAAACACGCTAGAAATTTATTATCTCTTCCTAATTTGTCGCTTTTAAGAGAATCAATCTTTTACTCAAAGAATTAAAGGAGTTTCTCGTACAACTTGATTGCACTCCCGAGTTTTCTCAGTATCATGAAAAAAGTTCTCTTTTATTAATATACCCGCTAAAATAAGATATCGAAGAATCTCAAGTTTTTCTCTCGATAATGGAAAAAGCCTTCTTGAAATAAATGTTACCAACTCGCTGCCCGATATTTACCGATTTATTTAGCGATTCAATAAGATGAATTCGCGCGACTGACTTGGCCAACAGCGGACATAGATATTCCATTTGTCGATCATTGTAAGAACGAGATGAATCCCCCGAGGAGGAAAGTTTGACAAAGTTCGGAGGCGTATTTATTTCCTCTTCGTTGAAACGATACAAATTTACTTAGCGAACATAAATACATTATCAGCGCAATTTACAAATAGCACAAACCCAACTGCATTTTCATAACGCAACTGTGTACATGTTCGCGAATAAATGCGCATATAAAGCGGAGGGGTCAAATTTTAGAGCGCACCCATCTCTACGATTAAATATTCATTTGCCGAGTAAGGGACAATGATTTCCTCCTCTCAAATCCCCGAGAAATCTTTCCGAGGTACATCTACGCGCAACGTGATATATCGACTATACGCTGTGGTGCTCTCGAGAGCCTGAGAATTTTATTCGCGGTCATTGAAAGAGAGGGTACATATGTGTATGTGTAGGTGTGCATACCGCAGTGCGCCTCGAAATTAAAAATTCAGAAGGCTAACACCGCACCTCGGGTTTGCACGTGTTACTTGGTGAACGTGTCGCGTCCAACTACCTGGATAAGTTACATCGCACGTATCACCAATTATAAAGTTCGCGGTGTAATTTATTTCGATCAATTTCATCCATTTGAAGCTGCCTGCTCTCAGGCTGATGAAATATGCCAGCTGTCATATCATCCGTAAAGTACATCAATCGCGATGTCGCGTTTGTCTTGTACGAGATTATGAGCGTTAATGTGACAAAGTGAGCTAAAGGGAAATAATTCTTATTTCGATAAATTTAAGTTTTTTTATTATTTTAATTTTGTTATATTATATATATATATATATATATATATATATATTTATAATTATTTATAATTATTTTATATTATTTAATAATTGCACGACTGATTATTTTGATTAAACAGTTATTTAAGATATTTATTAGTTCTTATATTATAATAAATAATTAATAGTTTTTGGAGATATCAGTAATTATTTTATTAAAATATTCAAAAATATTATATTAATATAATATTATAAAAGATTTTATTGTGTGAATTAAATTTATTGCCCATATTTCAAAAATATCTTTTTACGAATGCGAATCTTGATGCGTAGTCGCATCTGAAAATCTATAATCTAACTTTAAAATCGAAATTAAAACAATCTTTGAAAATAAAAATTATAGATGATAAAAGATAATTATAAAAAATATAGTAATGCAGAAACGAAAAAAGATTTCTTTTCATCCCTTATTAAAATTGATATATTAAATAAATATAAAAAATATAAAGAAATTATAAGATATAAAAAAATTTGCAAAATAAATAAATAAATATATATATATATATATATATATATATATAATAAATTTTTTATTAACCATTTTTAAAAGTTATAATACACTTTCGGGTGATTTTCCCACTTTATAGATTCAATATATATTTATAATTAAAATATGAACAAAATTATATGTTAGAAATCAAAAGATTATTTATAAAGATAAAGATAATAATTATTTAATAAGATAATAATTAATTGATAATAATTATATTAAGACGTCATCATTCCAGCGCCCTTTTACAATGTTATTAATATAATAAAATTGTGTTCATAATATGCTTTGATTATGTAGAATAAAATATTACTTAGTAAATAACGATTAATAATGTTTTAAATTAATCTATGCACAATACTAATATTATAATAAATTAAAATACATTTATTATAATGTAAAAGCTTTAGATTATTTAATAACAACTACATATTAGTTGTTGTAAAACTATTACACATCTAATAAATTAACAATTATTTTTCTTCAAATCGCTCACTTCCCACACATTGTGCATCGAGAGAAGATGAAAATTATCTCGATAAAATAATCAAGTATTTATTAGGACAAAGAAGAATACGACCTCAAATTGCATCACGCACGGAATGACTCTGATTAAAGAACTACGAGTTTCCATTTTGCGTAATTACGGAATTACATCGCAAAACACGTTACATGTTATTCAACAATGTTTTACGTACTAATTAAATAGTCGAGTCATCAAGTTACATTTTATTTTGCAAATTGCCATCGAAAACAAACGCAAAATATTCGCGAGAGAGAGGGGGAGGGAGGGAGGGAGGGAGCGAGAGAAAGAGATAGAGAGGGAAGCGAGGGGGGAAGACCTATCATTTCGCACGTGTACCTCGCAAAATTATACTTCATGCGGATGGATGATAAACTTTCTTATCCATGGGGAGGAGGAAACGCGCCTCCCCTCGGGAATTACCCCGCATCCAAAACTACCCTAAATAATATATTTTTAATTCGTAAGCGTTGCAGCCATGAAAAAGTGAGAGAGATAACGACTCGCGGTGGATAGCCAAGGGAGCGTAAATTCATACGTGCCGAGAATGTCTACTTTAGCGAAGAGGGGGAGGAAAAAGGAGGATGAGGGGAGGTGTAGGGTCTATTTCTCTTTCGCGGCCGACACTCGATATCTCACACGCCCCCCCGAAAACAACGGCCGCAAGAGTGCTTTTAAGTATGTAAAACTATCCTTCGCGGCGATCCACCCCTTCCCTCCCCCTCCCTCTCTTTCTCTTCCATAATATCTGGCGCCACCGCCCTCCACCCTCCTTCGCACGATTTCCCGTCCACGTTCGGCACGTTCGTTTTCGCGACTTCTCCTCTTAATCGCGATTAAAACGAGAGAGAGAGGCATGAATTTTTCGCGCGAATGAAAACACACACTGCCACTTTCGTGAATTTTCGAACGCGAGGAAACCAAGGGGCGAGGAAGCTGCCACGAGAATTTGTATTCTTCCTGGGGGAAGGTATTCTATCGTCGGGATGAAACTTTAACGACTGGATTCCCCGGCGAATTTAAAAATGGTACGAGACGCTTCGCTTTTTACACACACATTTTTAATATAAATGTATGAATTTTAGAAATATTATAAAATACGTAATCCTATGTTGTAATGTCTCATTATAAGATATACAGAGAAGGAAGATATACATGTATTTAAAAAAAAGTTTTTTTTTTCGATATGGAATATTCATAGGCTTATCCTTATTTAATATTTCTCATAAATCGAAAATGCCCTTTAGCAAGGGCTGGAAAATCGTATGGGCCGCTGACGCGAGAAAAAACGAAGGGATAAGTCTGGCCGGCTGGCGGATTTTGTCGGGGATAACTTGACGAGTAGTAAATGGCAATGTTCTTTATCAAAGTGGCAGATATTGTAAGTGTTTCCATCTCTCTTGCCACGTTGATGACTGGCCGCACTTTCTCTTTCTCCGGTCCTTAGAATCTCGTAAGGATAATTTATAGGGTCACCCCAGGATTCAGGAAAGACGGAGGAAGAGAGGGCTCTACGTGACGTGCGAAATTGGTGCTCGAGTGCAATAAAAGCGCATTCGAGTCTTGGCAACACCGCCGTTGAACATCGACGATTTCACCCTCTACTCTTATAAATCGTAAAATTTCAAGAAAGATAATTTAAAATTACGTAATTTAAAATTTGTCAAAAAATGCATACAATTTATAAATAAATTTTATGGAGATAAATCAAAGCATTCGTGAAGAAATTTTGCGGATTGTATTTCGTTCACGATCAATTCAGTCCGGCCAATGATAATTTCAGACTTATTTCAGACTTTCCAGTAAGGTTTTCGATCCCGTAGAAATAATCACGGATAATTAGAATAATATATGGAAGTTTTCGATAAAAAATAGCTATCTTACCTGGCACGTTGAAGAATATCATACGTATTCAAGGAGTTCACGTCGATTGGCTCGTCTTCGAGCTCCTTCTTCGGAATTGAATTGGCCGTTTTGATAATCAAGAAACTTTGAAGATAGCTAAGAAGATATATAGGTAGGGCTGCACCCTCCTCAGGCACCATGGCTAACCTCCTCGCCACGCTCTCTACCTAGCAATACATAATAAGGGCAAAAGGATAAAGGATAAACTTTAAGAAATTGAAGCTATCGATTACATGTAAAAATTCTATCCAAAATCTCTCTATTCGAATGTTTTAAAAAAATTTCTTGATCTTCCAGATATTTTTGTCTAAAATTCTAGTAAAGAGGAAAGTAAAGGGAATATTTTAAAGACTTTTTAGGATTGCACGAGATTTATAAGACAAGACAATATTCGTAAAAATATTGTATTGCTATGGAAAATGTTCGTATATTTAAACCTGGTTTTGTTTCAAGTGAATCTGTGTAGCAAAAATTTCATTTTAAATTCTTTATTTGGTCTCAATTTTATTAACATTTTTTTTCTAACTTCTAACACATCTTCTTCAATTTAAAAATATACATATTTTTTAAAGAAATTAATCATCTTGATAATCTTGATAATTAAAAATTTTGTCTTGAGTTTTGAGACAAGACAATATCAAAAGACTAGTCTTAGTATCAGATGCAATCTTATTTTTTTAGTGCAACTTTTTCAAATAATTTGTTTCATTGTATGCATTTTCTAATATTTTTCATTCATAGCAAGAAAAAACACAATCACTTTGGATGCTAAATGTATAAATATACTGAAAAAAATGAATAGCTCTTGATAAACATTCTTCACTTGCGTACTATTTTCATTTTTTTATCACTAAAAATTTCGAACATGTTTATTTTGTTGAGATATTGAATATGTAAACAAAGATATTTTAAAATCAACAGAGATACGTGATCTTCATAATATATCTTCATTCACTTAATTCACCAATTATTTATAATAAATAAGAGAAAATTATCAGAAAAAGAATTTTTTTTTTAAATCCCTGAATCCCAATAAAATTCCCTGATTTTTCCAGATGCAAAAGAAGGAAGGATGCCATATATTGTTCAGATTTTTAATTTTCTATATTTTTCCAGAGAGTAGACACGCTGTTAAATAATATCGAATACGCAATAATTACCTTGAGAAATCTCTCGCGAAGGGCAATCTCCGGGAATACTCCTCTCTTGGCCGCCTCCTCGGGAATGCTCTGGATAGCGGCGCACACCAGAGGATCTTCCTTCGCTAGAATCAAAGGAAACGAGAAAATTAAATCAATGCTCTCATCGTCCACCGATGGCTCTCTTTCTTTCATTCTCAATTTATTTAATTAATTGAAATCCCAGTTAACGTGATTTTTGATTGATTCATTCGCTCGAGAAACTAACGTTCCCTCCGAGTTTCGACAAGCAAGATTAATCAGCGTAACGTATATGTTATTCAAAATTACCAAATTTCTACTGCAGTAGCTCAATTTGCTTTGCGGTTACTGAAGCCACAGCATTCCGTTTTTCTCTCATTGAACGAATTTATGCTTTACTGCAGAGCATTGCGGACGCACGTTTCAAGCTTGCGGTTCGCATTCGATTATCGCAAATCGCATATAAACGATAATAAATTTATTGTATTTACATATTAATGTTATTAATGTTATTAATATTATTAATGTTATTGATGTTATTAATGAACCGTTTTTATGCGTCAGATAATCATTTATTTACATTAATGGCGTTGATAATTCGCTCGTTATTAAATAGTTGATAAGGTTAACCTCTCTCGTTAATTGATTTCGCGAACAATGCATTGTCACTGTCTCTAAATAAGTCGATAAATCACCAGAATTTTAATTAACAATTACAGTTGTATAAGAAATTAAAAACTAATCTTGATATTGTCTTGCCTCGAAATTCGAGACAAAATCAAGGTAAAATTTTTAATTAATTATAAGAAATAATACTAAGATTGTCAAGATTGATCTTGTCAAAATTATTAATTTTAAAAAGAAGTTGAAATATGTATATTTTTAAATGAGATGAGAAAAAATCATTATATTACAAACTTAAAAGATTTTATTTGAGAAATAAAAATATTTATATATCAACAAATTTATAGAAACAATTAATAAACAATAAACAAAATAATATAAAATTTTACACATTTAGCTACACAAAACTTTACGCACAATAAATATAGATTGTATAGTATTGGAAAGTAAAATTCCCCCACATCACAAAAATAATAATAATTATCTTAAATTAAATCACATTAAATTATATTAAAAAATAATTTTAAAAAATATATTTTTTAAATATTATTTAAAACAATCGTTTAATATCAAATAAAAATTGTTAATAATAGAGACAATACAAGAAGAGTTTTTTGCTATAAAGATTCACTCCAAGCAAGAAGTTTTCGATTTTCAACACAATATTTTTGCGAACGTTATCTCGAGTCTTGTGCAACCCTATTAACAATTAAAATTCAAATTCCTCGCTGGTGTACCGGCCCGTAAAAATGGAAATTACGGGGTCCATCTCTCGACGAAGGAATTAAAACGCGTGAAAACGCGCGGTCGACCAAAAATTTATAGACACTTCGCGCAATTAAGCGTTCGCGGTAGAGGCATAATTAATGAACACGAAGTGCACGGTACTCCATCAGGCCGACACGAGCTCTTTGAAATGCCCAACCCTAGGGTTCCTATATATATATATACATATATATGAACGCTCGCTTCCGATTAAGCCGTAAATCTTTGACCGGGGGCTCTCTACCGAGTCTCACCGTTCGGATCGCATATACGCTCTCGTTCGAGATTCCCGTTGTCGTCGTCGTCATCGTCTCTATTGTTTCAGCCTTAATAGCAGAAACGAGCGCGAATCACCGGAACGGCGATTAAAACGCGTGGGATCCCGAATGGGAGAAGGACCACTCGGCGGATTAATATCCTTTGTCGAATTCAACCGCGATCCGAATCAAATTAATACTCTTGTCAGGGAAAAAGAGAGCAGATCAATATCCAGGAAAAATTGACGTTGCGAGATCCCGAGGTAGCGTTCATATTTCACAAATCGACGATTATAAGTATTTAAATTGCTGCAAGATGCTCTCTCTCCCGTAAGAAAATACATTCGTGAAAGAAGTATCAGGAAGAAATATAAATCTTGTTGCTTCGAATAATATATTGAAAAAAATTAAAGGAATGAAAAAATTAATAAAATTAAAAATTAAAAGAATGAAAAAATTAAAAAAATTAAATATTAAAAGAATGAAAAAATTAAAAGAAATTAAAAGAACACACAAAGATTTCGTTTTATACTTTAAACTTTGTAATATCAAGATGAAATAATATTGTATAAAGGAGTCTGTATAAGTAGGCATTCAGTTAAAATCCAGATAAATTGCTCGATGCAAAGATGTTAAGCAGAAAATCTATTATAAGTACAGACTGGTGTACTTTGCAAATATGTGTATATATATACACACTCATGCGTGTTTAATGTTCAAAGATGTCACGCGCGTTGTGTTGTAGATTTAATTAATTCAGCCCGATGTTTGTTGCATTAACTACATACTTTGTTCGTGTATATATAGTAATAATAATTACGAGCGACCCTAATGCAGGGAGCTATTGCGGAGTTACAACTAAGTAAAGTCCGCACTCTGTTCTCCAAGTTTCTCGCGCTACTTTAGATGATACTCGTTGTATTTTGTATGCAATGCGAACCTCTACCGTGCGAAATTACTTTAAAAGTTCCACCTTTTCGTTTACGACACAAGCTTTCCTTTTTTCTTTACTCAATGTTTTTATTTCATGTGAATAACGCAATTTCATAATGCACTGAGATGTTTGATATAAATCGTCAATTGCAAAAAATATTGATAAAATAAAAGCAAACACATGTTTTTTTGGATTTCTCATTATCATCAAATTTTTTAAGAGAAAAGAGAGAGAGAGAGAGAGAGAGAATGAAAATTTATATTTAATAAAGATACCTACTCAAAACTTATTAAAAAATTTTCGGAAAACTTCTTGATTTTTCAGATATTTTTCTATTTAAAATTCTAGATAAAGAAAACATTTTAAGAATTTTTTTGTGCAATTTTTAAATTAAGATATTTTATTGTACACGTTTTTTAAATTTCACTCGTATGAAGAGAAAGCAGAACTAATTAAGTTTCAAGTACCGAAAAAAACTAAAATAAATATTTTTACTTGCATAACACATCTACATATTTTTTACTAAAAATTATAATAAAAAAATGTATTCAATATTTTAAAACATTAAATATATAAACAGATGTATATATTTATAATATATATTAAGCACATATTTAAATTTGTTATTACACAAGAATTATCAGAATGAATTTTTTAAAAGCTGCCTGAATTCCTAGAATTCCACGAAAATTTCATGAAAATTTTTCAAGAAATCAAATACAAAAAAATCTCCCAAAATTCCAGGTTTTCCATATTTTTCCAAAGAATAAACTCTGTTCATTAATTAAAATACTTACGTGCTGCCTTGGAAACGGCCTTAATTTCAGGCTCCAGCGGTCTGATCGTCACATCCGGTGCCGCGATTTTCACTGCTCTAGCCAAGGCTTGACAGGCCGACCACAGGATTTGCGCATTCGACGCACCCTTCTCCTCTTCCATTCGAGCTGAAACAAAAATGTTACGTTTATTTTCGAGTTTCTGATAAAAACTCTTTTCGGTCAGTAATGCGGTTTAGTAAAAACTAAAAAAAAAATGTTACCTCGACTGTTAAAAATTCAAATAGTTACATCAACAGTCTTCAAGAGGAAAAAAACTTATGGGGTGTTGATAATACCAAAGTCGCGCTCGCTTCCCTCTGTTAACATAATTTTGCATTTTTACGACCATAAAATACCGAGAGATAATTACCAAGATTTACATTCAAAAATTATTACGCTAGAAATTTAAATATCGCCCGATAAAAAGAGAATACGATAATTTATTTGACACATATACGTATCGCTATTAAATTAATAAAATGCATATGACGTCATCTCGCTATTAATTCTATTATTTTTGAATTATAATCCGTCGCGGGTCTGTCAAAAATTTTTCCAAAAGATAAAAAAAACCAATTGTCAGGGGAGAGATATCGATTCGTAAAATTCACTTGTCTAATTTAATTTGCGCCGACATTGCGAGGCTCCTCGATCATTTGGGAATCCTCCAGGGTATCGCCGTCGTGTTACAGTGACATGGCCAACATTTCGCGCATTTCCGGTGACACGGCCAAATTTTTCGATAACAACGTTCGCGCGAAAATCCCGCCGGTTACGTAACGAAACGAAGGCTTAACGAGAGGCGTGTGTCCGTTTTCGGAAGGCTGCGCGTTATACAAGGTGTTCCAAATTAAAACGTCGAGATTTCGGGAGCGCCTCGAGAATCGACAAACTAAGAAAAAAAAATCCTTTTTAGAGATTCGCTAGTCGTTGCTTCTCGTTTTGGAGAAAATCGCGAAAGAGATTTTCACCAAAACAATGTAAAACGTTAATAAATTCAATAAAGTTCTTGGAAAAATATTTTTCGAAAAAAATTTTGTCAAAAATCTTTGAAAATTAAATAGAGGAGATATTCTTACCATGAGACTTTTTTCTAAAACATTTTTTGATATCTTGAATAATTGTGGAGAAATATCGAGAAAAACAAAAGACTACTTTACAAATGAAAAATGATTTTAGAATTAGTTTTTGGATCACAATTGAAAAGTCCTAAATTCAAAACATTTTTTCCAATCTCTTTTATTTTAAGAGATATTCAGCTGCATCACTTAAAATGAAACACTCTGTATATATAATGAAATTATATATATATATATATATATATATATATAAAATTTCATTTGGAAACAAACGACAAAACTTGGACACAAATTTCGTAAATCATGCGTTATTTATGGAAACATTAAAGCTGGATAAAATTTATCAATTTATTCATACTCGCGTTTTATGCCGTAATTGGCGTTTTATAAACGCGCACATACGTAAATATATATATATATATATATATATATATATATATATATATATATCCATGTGTGTCCGGCACAGATTTATAGAAACAACTGGCGGCAATGGCGTCGAAATAAATAATCGCGCAATAAACCAATTTCATCATCAATACAATCGGATTAAAAGTGCGTTTAGCGAGAAACACACGGCGTTACATCGTTGTAAAATATTTTCGTGCTAGTCGGGTCGCAGAAATATCGTTCAAATGTATATACATATATACTGTGCAGGTCAATTAAATGGTAATGTAATCTTCCGCCACCGATTTTGCGTTCGTTTATTTCGACGCCGCGACTAAATGAATCGTTAAACTTAAATTAGCGTCGAAGATAATCGGAATCTGATCGACGACGCGACATGCGATCCACCTGTTCGATCTGGTCGCGATTTGATGAACTGTAAATCCGGGCCACAGTCGAGAGAGGGATGTTAACGCCGTCGGAGAAGAAGAACGAGATCCACCCGGCGATCGCGGGACTTTCTCGACCTTACCTCTCCTCCCTCGCCCTCCCAACTCGTGATTTATTACGCGTATCAATCCGGATAGGGTTTACGGAGTGATCTCGTCTAAGGAAAATTACTCCGCTGGATTGGGAGATTTTCCGTGTAGCTTTCCCCGGTAGCTTGTTTTCCCTCGCGTCACGTCAGACGAACCACACTTCCATTCAACACGACGTCACGTCTCTCGCGTACGAGATTTCAATCACATTTTTCACTTTGATTTCACGAGACGAAATTTTGATAAAAATAGGTCGATGACAGAGGGTGTCTACTCAAATCTTGTAAAAAAATTCCCTGAAAAATCCGATCTTCCTGGGCGTTTGTGTTGAAAATTTCACGTACCGACAATATTTTAAAGATCTTGTCATGCAAAAAAAAATACAAAAAATACACTATCTAAATTTCAAAATTTTCAAACTACTGAATAAAATGAATAGCTCTCATAAAATAAACATTTTTTACTTGCTTAACATTTTCATTTCTTTACTGTTTATTCATATTTTGTTAAGACATTGAATTATTAGAAATTATATAAGCAAAAAACAAATATATATTCATAATATATTTATTTATAATATATAATTATTAGAAATTATACAAGCAAAAATAGTTATATATTTATAATATATTTTAAATATATAACTTGACTTATCGGAAGATTGTCGATTACTTACAATATAAAAGCATTATCAGGAATTTTAAAAAATCTCCTGAATCCTAATAAAATTTCACAAAAAAATTCTGACTTTTCAGGTCCAAAAGTAAGGTCCTGAGAATTCCAGATTTTTTAATATTTTTCCAAAGAATAGACACCCTGGATAAGTTTAATCTGGGATTATGATTTTTATTCTTTGCATAAGTCGACATTTATCTTGAAAATCCATCGTAAATATCATCGTTTAGAATTACCAGAACAACAATTGCAGTCAATTCACGCTCGGACTTTACAACAGAACGCCAAAAGCAAATTACGCTCCATAATAAGTGCAATATCATTCTTTATAACGACGATCGTTTTGAAAGCACCGACAGTCAGGAAGATTCCTCCACCCTCGCTTGCAATTTCGTTCATCATCGCCGACGATTACGCACACTTTTGTCGTCCAAATATCATTATCACGCTTTCATAAAATATCCATGATCCACGTTCCAGGAGAAAGGAAAAAAAAGAAACCCTTGGCGAAGGCTTAGTCAGCAGTTATCTCCAACCTGAAATTACTCGCCCAGATTCAGGCTCGAATAACCGAGCCGTAATTCGCGACCACCGCAATATCATCATTTCTCCGGCAATAATTCTGGCAATAAACTCGAGCGTGCAACTTGCGCGCGATCCCCCTCGCAATTAAATTAATCCTTCGTGAGGCGCGTTTTATCGCGCTTCGGGAGAAAAAGGGAAAGAGTAGATCTCATTATTAATTTCGCCGCATAAGCTAGCGAGCCTCGAGGATTACGTCGCGAATATCCGAGACGAATCTTTCTTGCTTTACTATCAATTTATCTGTTAAGGGCCCGGTGTACTTTAGAGAATCAAGAAAATTGATTATTTCCTAAAAGTATGATATCTGAAAAATATACGTTGCAAATTTTTTATTGAAAAATTCGCAAAACTGATGAAATTATAAGATTTATAGGATAATGAGTCTTTAAATGGGTCTGTAAAACTTTAAAAAACTTTTACGTTTTACTCAAAACATTTTTGAAGTTTCCAAAGTTGGTGTGAATTATGGATATCTTGAAAGCTAATGGGCCGAATAATTATTTTATATATATATATATATATATATATATATATATATATATATAAAAGAAGACACTTTATTAAGAATATTGAAAATAGAATTTTAAAAATTTGTAAAACACTTGCAATCAAAAATGGCCACTAATGAGTGACACTAATGCAAGTAATTAAACAAACTAAAATAACATAACAATAATACATCAAATTTTTCTCTTCAGTGAGAAAGCATTAAGATTAATAATTAATATTTAATATTTATATTAATATTTAATTTATATTAATAATTAATAATTAATATTCTTCTGAAAAAATTCAAGAAATGAATAAATTTTAGCAAAATTAAAATGTCTATTAATCAATTAATAGGTAATTTTTAAATTATATTATTTTGTTATTTTTTAACTTTTTCCAATGAAATTAAATTTGGTATCTTATGGAATAAAACTGGATCAAGTGTATTCATTACAGAAAATTCACACGAGGTACAATGTATCACATCATCGTTTTTAGACACGCGTAGAGGGCTCATATCGACTAAAAAAGAGCCGGATATCAAAGATTTAAAAATACTGTAGATTTAAATGTCAACAAAAACACATGTAAAATGTCAAAAAAAGATTGATTCTTCAAGAAGAATTCCTAAGAGTTATCAATTTTTTACATAGAAAGCTAAAGTAGGTTCAGCCCTTTAATGACACTTTAGCTATGTGAAACAAGCCATGTGCTCAATGTCACTCATATGATCATCAATCAAAATGCAAGCACATATTTGACGCGAATGAACAAGAATTTAATTCCTGAAAATTTTTCGAATTATTCGATATCTTGCGCAAATTCGTAATAAAACAGTGAATACATTTTATGCATTTTCAATATATTTATCGTCGTGATATTAAAATCCCATTTATCTCACAACGCCCATTATATCACAAGCATAATCTAAGGAGGGGAGAGGGAGGGGGAAAAGAGAGAGAGAGAGAGAGAGAGAGAGAGAGAGAGAGAGATTAATTTTTATCTATTAAAATGAGAAACGCCTAAAAGTTAAAAGTGATAAAGAGAAAGCTATATTTTAGATACTATCTTTTTCAGTATTACTCGTATTTTTCCATAAAAACGATCGATGCAAATTAATGTCTACGCGAGCGCTCTTTCTCTCTTTTCACGCCGCATCAAATCTCGTGTTACATCGGCTAGACGCATCGATTTTGCCGGCGACTTTAAGCATCCCTTAAAGCCAAAATGACAGGCCGATTGCCCACGCGACGTATATCTTCAATCTCTTTTCTCTCCCTCCCACCCTCTCTCTCTCTCTCGCTCGCTCCCTTTTATTCTCTCGCGCTCTCCATCACTCTCTCATGCTCTCTCTCGCACTGCTTTC